TTCTGAAGAAGGGTCCAGACCCGAAACGTCAGTTTCCTGCTCCTCTGATACTGCCTGGCATGCTGTGTTCATCCAGCTCTACACCTTGTTATCTTATTTAAGTTCTACACCTCACCCCTTTCTGAAATATAACAAAACCTCTGGTAGATTTATTAAGAACCCATTCAGCCCTTTTGAGCCCACTCTGCCATTCGATTAGATCACGACTAATCTGTATCACAGTTTCAAACGCTTATCTTTGTTCTATATCCCTCAACATCCTTGCTTAGTAAATGCTATTTTTCAGGTTTAAAAATGATTATTTGAACAAGCAGCTACTGCTTTTTGTGATAAAGCTCTATTTCTGTGAGAAACATTTCTCTACAAGAATGAGAGGTCATCTCACTGAGATGCATAGAATTCTTAAGGTATTTGACAGGTTGTGATGACTGGATGTTTCCCCTCACGGGAGAGTCTAGGACCAAAGGGATAGTCTCAGAATAAAAGGGCATTGATTTAAGATAGAAGAGGAGGAACTTCTTTTCTTATAGAATCGAGAGTCTTTGGAACTCCCTGCCACAGAAAGCTGCGGGGCAGATCATACAGCATAGAAACTGGCCCTTCAAACCATCATGGATATGCCAACCAACAAGCACCAGATTACACTAATCCTTTTTACCTGGACTTGGTCCACCGCCTACTATGCCCTGGCATTTTAAGTACTTATCCAGATGCTTCTTAAATGTTGCGAAAGTACTTCACCTGTCTCCACCACCTTCTCAGGCAGAACATTCCATATTCACACCATCCTCTGGGTAAAAAAAAAATTTCCTCAGATCTCCTCTAAACCACTTGCTCTTCACTTTAAATTTATGCCCTCAGGTCTTAGACATGTCTACCATGAGGGAAAGATTCTCACAATCTACTCTGCCTCTGCCTCTCAATTTTGTATAACTCAATGAGAGTCCCCCTCAGCTTCCTCTACTCCAAAGAAAACAAACCTAACCCTCCACTATCTCCTCATAACAGACTTTTAATCCCAGGCAACATCCTGGTGAATCTCCTTTCCATCTCCTCAGCAATCATATCTTTCTGATGGTGTGGCGACCAAAACATCATATGGTATTCTATCAGTGACCCAACCAATGTTTTATAACATTGCTACTGCATTCTATGCCTCAGCTAATGAAGGCAAGCATCCTTGTGTCTTTTTCACCACTCTGTCTACCTGTGCTGACGCTTCCAGGGATTTATGGACTTGTACACCAAGATCTCTTTGTTCCTTAGTACTCCCCAGGGACCTACCATTTGTGGTGTATAACCTTCCTTTATTAGACCTCATAAAATGCATCACCTCATACTTATCGACATTAAATTGCCTCTGCCATTGCTCTGTCCAATTTACCAGCTGATCAATATCAACCTGTAGCCTTAGACTATCCTTCTCACTATCAACAACACCACTAATTTTGGTGCCATGTGCAAATTTACTAATTATACCTTCTACATTGGCATCCAAGTCATTCATGTACACAGAAAACAGCAACGGTCCCAGCACCGCTCCCTCTGGCACACCACTGGTCACAGGCTTCCAACTACAAAAGCACTCCACCATCATAGTTTGCCTCCTATTTGTATGCCATTTTGGATCCAGTTTGCTAACTTGCCTTGAGTATCATGGGCCCTTACCTTGTGGATCAGACTTTCGTGTCGGACTTTGTCAAAAGCCTTAACTGCAGTCCATGTAGACCACATCAATTGCCCTACCCTCATCAATATATTTAATCACCTTTCCAAAAAATTCAACTAAATTAGACAGGATTCCCCTGTAACAAATCAGTGCTGACTATTCCTGATCAATCTCTGCCTTTCCAAGTAGCGATTAATCCTGTCCTTCAGAGATTTTTTACAATAATTTCCTAAATTGTGTTTAATAATGATTAAGATCAATAGAGTCTAGATCAGTAGGGGAATCAAGGGTTAAAAGTGAGCAAGGGAAATAATAGATTAGCCAGCATCTTATTGAATGGCAGAGCAGGCTGAAGGGGCCAAATGGCCTACTCCTGTTCTTATACCTTGTGATCTCTCCTGAACAGCCTCACCTAATCTGTTCCTCTAACCGCATCTACTTCCACCAGTAGAGGTTTAAACTATACCCAAGGTCTACATTCTTTTTTACTTTACCCTAAAATGAAGCCAGTCCAAGAAACTATTATCTGACAAAACTCAATTGTTATACAAATAAAAACTGATAATCATAAAAAGACAATTAACATAAATCATAATATATAGGAGCACAAGAAACAGGACACCATATAACACATAATATTGAATCATGGAATGCATTCAATCATGGTTTATCTTAAGTTTCAATTCCACTTTCCCAACTGCTCCCCATATCCCTCGTTTGAAAGACCAAGATTTATAACATAAATATAAAATAATATGCAGCACAGGAAGCCACCATTCAGCCAACCATGTATATGCTGCATCGTTGACCAGCTATTCAATTGGTCCAATTTTCTTATGGCACTCTAAATGTTTTCCCATCAAATATTCATCCAATTTTCTTTCATGACATAGCACCAGCAATGAGTTTGTGAAAACAAAATAGATCTGAAAATTTGGTGAGGACACAGGATATACTCTGGTTGAGGGATTTTTTTTTTTAAAAGTCATCCATGGGATATAGATGGCCCAGCTTCTTAAGAAGGTGATGGTGAGCTGCTTCTTGAATTGCTACTGTCCACGTGCTGTAGGAAGACCCACAATACCGTTTGGGAGGAAGTTCCAAGATTTTGACCCAGCATCACTGAAGGAATGGCTATATATCTCCAAGTCAGGATGGTGAGTGGCTTGGAGGAAACTTGGCGGTGGTGTTCCCATGTACCTGTTAACAAACTCAATAACTATCACCAAAAGATGGCTCAGAAGCAACACTACTGACCAAATTGGCCAAGTCCTAAAGGACACAGCTGCTAGACTGGGTTTGTGGAAGGTGGTTCAGGTGCAAACAAGAGGAAAAGTTTGTACGGCCTAATCTTCACTAATTGGCCCATCATCATGTCCACCCATGACAGGGTCGATAGGAGCAACTACTGTACATTGCGGAGACAAAGTCACAACTTCATATTGAGCATATCATTCATCGTGTTCTGAGGCATTACCATTGTGCTAAATGGGGCATTCTTGGAACAGATAAAGCAGGGCACCCGTGAGGCGCTGTCAGCTTCCAACAGAACTGCATTAAACCACAATGGTAATCTTATGTACTCATCTAAATGACTTTTAAACATTATAACTGTACCCACATCCACCACTTCTTTTGGAAGTTCATTCCACATATGGACCACGCTCTACGTTAAAAAAAGTGTCCTTTTTAAAATCTTTCTTTTCTCATGTTAAAAATATGTCCTGTAGTCTTGAAATATCCCTCCCTATGGAAACGACACCTGCCATTCACCTTATCTATACCCCTCATGATTTCATAAACCTCAATAAGGTCACCCCTCAACCTCCTACACTCCAGTGAAAAAAGTCCCAGACTATTTAGACTCTCCTTATAACTCAAACTCTCCATTCCTGGCAACATCCTGGCAAATCTCTTCTGAACCCTCTCCAGCTTAATAATATGCTTCCTATAACAGGGAGACCAGAACTAGACACAATCCAGGAGAGGCCTCACCAACATTCTGTAAAACCTCTACGTAACATCTCAATTCCTGTACTCAAAAATCTAAGCAATGAAGACAAGTGTACTAAACACCTTCTTAACTACCCTTTTTGTGATGCAAACTTCAAACAATTGTGTGCCTGAACCTTTGGGTATCTCTGTTCTACAACACTACCCTAAGCCCTACTTTTAATTGTATAAGTCTTGCCTCTGTTTGTTTTAACAAAAATGCAGCATCTCACAGTTACTTAAATTAAACTCCATCTGCCACTCTTCAGGCCAACTGATCAAGATCTCTTTGTAATCTTAGATAACCTTCTTCACATCCACTTTCCCACTAATCTTGGTGTCTTCCACAAACTAACTAACCATGCTTTCATGTGTGGATTATTAGATTTCAAGCGAGTAGAAACATTGGTTTCCCTTTATTTATCTTCTATTACCATCAAGAGTATGGACCAATGCATTTGCATAATATTCTTAAAGTGACCTGAGCATTTGACAATTTGACTGATGGCATTCTTGCATTTTGTACTAATCAGTATAACAAGAAAAACTTGTGCGACATCTCTCATTTCAGCAACATTTGAGTGATCTTGCTACATTACATAAATATAAAGCAAAAGACTATAGCACGAGGGAATCAAAGACTTGATAAAGGTTAGAATTCCATAATTGAAAAGCTGAATCAACAGGAAAAAAAATTAATTTCTGAACCCTGGAGCACCTTTAATAATCAGTAGTTCAAAATACATTATGCAATAAATTTACCTTTTAAACCAGAGTGATAAAAATGTGGGTCAAAATATCAATAATGCATAATTCAAGGCAAACTGGCAAAAACAACAAGTCAGTATGAATAATGTAGACTATGAGTTTGATTATGGCATTCAACGTAAACTTAAAGATATTATTATTCACAATTCTATAAAGGTGTAAACTAAATTAAATGCCACCTGTTCTATGTATTGCAAAACAATATAGTTTGGAGTTAGAAGCAATGTGCAAGAGGCTCTGGGGTAGATAGGAATGCAAAATTGAGCTGAGACAGATGAGCGCATTTCCTAATATCCCAAAGAAAGGTATGAGCAAAATTCAAATTTAAACCACATAGTGACTCATTTCTAGTCCCACGAAGTTATGAAAAATATTATCCCTGTAATTAATAAAAGCAATGAAATCCATAAAAATGGATACCCAAAATTCCAAATGAGGGTGTATTAAAAGCCAAAGGAATGCTGTCAGAGGCACAAACACCACCAGGATATCAGACTCATTTGGTCTACTGTACAATGACAGATGGAAAAGAAAAGACTCCAAAAATGTTTGTAAAATTTTATTTACCTACCCTGGGTTTCAAAGGTTTTAAGGTGGGAATATCAGTTCCTTCAGCTCGCTGCCTACTGGAGTCAAAGGTCTTCCTTTTCTTATTAACACTTTTTTGGCAGATAGGCTCATGCTTTAACTGTAAGAGAAAAAAGTAATCTTAAAAGTTGTATTGATAAGCTGACAATATTGAATATGAAACTGCTCATCTACAACAAAAGTTATATTTCATTGGTTCAAGCAATTAAGGTTCCGCACTTTCCTTACTACTAGAAAATCTGATGGATGGAGCCATTGAGGAACCTGTGGATACTGAAAATACCTACTATCTCTAAAGGTTTCTACCATCAGATTTTTAGCCATCTGTTGCTGGATTTCTATATTTGCTGCATCCATGTATAAAATCTTATCACAAGCAGTTTACATTTGATTGTCTTTAGTGATAAATTTTAAAGCTCATTGTGATAAAATACAAACAAACTACTCCAAAGTAATTCATTTCCTAGGTAAAAATAAATACGGAATCACACAACAGTCAGTATTTGAACAAAATAAAACACTTCTAAGTGGACACCTAAATGTTAACGTTCACACATTTTCCGCTTTTAACAAGTATGTTTGATTTTGCATTTCTGCTTTGTTTGTAGTTTCTGGATACAATAAACGCATTCAACATGCTCCATTTTGAATCCAATTCATGTTGAATGATCAGAATATAGTATCTGTTAAGTTCATTGGCAAAAATTGACAATGCAGAATTGTGGTGTTAATAATGGAGCTGATTTCCTATTTTTTATTACGCAAATTGTGAGCATCAAGAATGAACAAATCCTGAACAAAAATGTTATTCTTTTTCTAATATGCCTTAACCACTGATAGGTATCTGCTACAGCATTAGTGTGAAGTCATCCTACTAACAACAAAAATCCTGAGGTGTTCTCAATGAAAATAACAACCCAACATTAAAGTGAACTAGATAAATGATAACTATGTGATGGGACCAATGTGCGCTGGGAATTGGTACGTTTCTGCCCAAAACTCATTTGCGCAGGATATCGCACAGAATTCATCCCATTCAATGGGCTTGAGTCAATCCCAGCTGCCATAAGTGATAGTTAGTGCTCTCCCAGAAGTTTCCAAGTAACTTATGATGAAAACTGACGGGGCTTTAGAGAGTGAAAACTTTAAGAGATACAATTTTGTGACATCCCAAGATACTTTAATTGTTTTATTCAGTTTCATTGTTTACTGCAGTGGAAAATGCTAGGCTGCTCCCATTGCATTCCAGGCTGAGTATTCAAAAATTACCCAAGTAAATTTGCATCCTATACCTAAACTGATGGAGTCCAAAGAATGTTTATTGCTCCATAAAAATTATACACACAAATCCAGACAGACAGGGGGCTGAATTAGCTAAACAAAAGACATACAATAGAACATGTAGTACAAATAACATTGTTCAGACTGCACTACCTACAAATTATTTGAGCATGATACTAATTCTATTTGCAAATGTGCCTGAAGCCAAGAACAGCTTGGTTTGCAAAACACAAGAGATGCTCCTGCCAAAGTTGAGTTTTGAGTATGTGTTGCAACTTATGTATGCACATTACATTTAACCGCTGTTTCAAGGAAGAAAACTGGGAAGACTACCCAGCATTGACTCGGCACCAGAAATGACAATGGTAAACTCAGTTATGTCAACCTTGCAAATCTCCACTTACTACCATCTGGGTCCTTGTGGCAAAATTGGGAGAGGTGTCTGACAGATGAATCAAGCATTAACCTGAAAGTCAAACTCATGGAATCGTACTTTGCATACAATGTCCCAGATAACACCATCACCAACCCTGGGTGTGTCCTGATCCATCTGCTTCTTCAATGAACTTCATTCCAACATGAGGTTAAAAGTGACTATGAGCACTATATTTGTAAAATGTTCAACACCATTTGTGTCTACTCAGATAATGAAGCAAGTCCATGGCCAAATGCAACAATAACTTGGGCTGACAAGTGCTAAGTGACATTCAGGCCAAACAAGTGCAAGGCAATGGCTTTCTCCAACAAGAGAGAAGTGAACCATTGCCCCTTGATGTTCATTTCCAATAACACTGAAGAAGCTTGACACCATCCAGGACAAAGTAGCCCATTTGATTGGCACCATAACCAGAAACAATCATTTCTTCCATCACTAATGCACAGCAGCAACCAAATACACCATCTACAAGACGTACTCCAGAAATTCACCAAAGATCCTTAAACAGTATCTTCTGAACCCACGGTCACTACCATCCAGAGCGAGAAAGGCAGCAGATACATAGAAACACCACCGCCTGTAAGTAACCCTCCAAGACACTCATCATCCTGACTTGCTGTTCCTATGTCCCTGGGTCATAATCCTGGAACACTCTCCCCAGCATCACTGTGTGTCTACCTGTGGCAAATCGACTGCAACAGTTCAAGTAGGCTGCTTGTTTTATGTGAAATAAACAGAATCAAGTAGAGAAGCCGCCATCCCATGATGACTAAAAAAAGTACTTTTTTTCACTGAATTTCTCAACAGACAGAATATTTATATTGTGTTACCAAAAGCATTTGATACTTGAATATTCCATTCAATATTTAAGGATATGCAGTAACATAACTGAGCAGCATTTGAATTCATAAATGTAGCCACTCAAATGTTTTGTAATTAAGCAATTGAGTTTTGCATGGATATAAAATATTACCTTGTTCAAAACACTTTCCCTCAAATTAGGCTTAAATTTTGCATTACATTGTTCTGATCCACAAAGATTTATTTCATAATGGTCCTTGGGATGTCACTTTACATTAAAAGGAGATAATTGCAAGTTTTTGCTGAATGTCCCTACTATTAATGGTGGCATCCATTTCTTAATCCTGAATAAAACAATAAATTTCAGTCATCTCCAGGTAACTGTGGTGGGTATATGGAAAGAGAAAACGAGAATATACTTGATACTTACCCGCACTGCTGGCAAAAAAGTTCGTCCACAAATTTTGCAAGGTGCCAATTCTGCTGCTCCACCTTCACAAACAGAATATCAATATGAAAATACATTAAATGATTATTCATTTAGAAGTACACTTGTGACTCAGCCATTCCTCTTAATTGGACAGCTGTTGTCCTCCAAAAGGCATTCCAATGTCTATCAGTTCCAAACTATCAATACCACCTTTAAAGATTATGCTTTTATATAACTTAAATCAGAAGGCCTAGAGAGCCATGCCCAGCAAAGGGCGGGGGGTGGTGTTCAAGCTGGCAGGAGGGTCCAGCCTAGCAGGTGCTTAGGTTGGGAGGCCTGGGGGTGGAGAGGAGTCAGATCTGATTGCAAAGGAAGGTGGAAGTCAGGCCTGTAGTTAAAGACAGAAGCCCTCAGGTCATGTGAGTGAAGGTGGGGCAGTAGTCCAGTTTGTTCAGAGTGTATCAAGTTCATTCATGGGGGCAGAGGCATTACTTAGGTTTTGTCAAAAAGCTATAGGTCTAATCAGGGAGGCAGATCTGGTTGTGGGGGGAGTGGAGATGTCGGATGATCGATCAGGTCATGTTGGGGACATGCGAGGTCAGGGAAGAAGGTGGTCAGCATAAGTGATTGGCATATCAGTTACTCAGGAGTTACAGGGAGCTTTTTCTATCCAACATTTCCTAGGTAAATAAATCAAAATTGTCTGATGTCAGAGGATCCCAAGAGCAAGTAAACTGTCTGCTGCAGGGTAAAACTTTTCAGGCAATTCTCATGTAGGTCACTGCGTCAGGACTTTCACAAGGTCTTGACCACATATTTGCTCCCTGACGTTTCAAAGACCAGTCAATGTGGCCCATTATCTTTTCCTTCCTGTATTTGAACCATTACTTTGACTCTACCTTCTGGCTGTAGGATTTTTCATGCAGTTCATGTTGAACTGGCCAAATAATTTCTACTCCTCTTACCAACTTAGTATAGCAATGTTAATATATCTTACTATAATACAGCACAAAGTCCTACTTGCGATTTATGATCACATTTATCACAATTTGATTTGAATCCTAATGTGGCATTTGAAATTGCTATTGATTCTTTGAGCCAATGATGCTGATACATCCAGCATGTTTATTGTTTATTTGTTTGTAAACATATTTAATGTTTATTTTGTTTTCTGTGGATTATAACCCAAGGTTTTAACTTCCCAGTTTGCCGGCTGAGACACTTCAAGATGATTGGCTGATGAGCCTTCTTGATAGCATCACTGTTGTTGTACGCCACAGATTGCTATAAATATCTCAAGATTAATTCCATAATATTCTGATATGACTATCAAAAGATTCAGAGCCCCCTTTGTCACCAACATTTTTAGAAGTCAGCAGTGAGGACCATTGCTTTGACACTAATCATTAAAGCCAAAGTGTAGATTCAAGGCACAAAATGTTTTTACTTGGCTAAGGTTTTAAGGAGTATTCATAATGATAGATTTTGGACCATTCCTACCCAACAGTCAGGAAATCTCACCAACGTGCTCTATTATCTTTTTTTTTGTTGGAAGCTCATGTCAATCTAAACTAAAACATAACCTTCAAGTTAACCCTAGTCTTCCAAATCAACTATCTCCCCAACATATTTTGAAATATATTGATTACAGTTTGTATTTCATATTGTCATAATAGTCATAGTTTTAGAACTCTATGGCCTTCGGCCATTGTGTACACAACAGCAGACAAGCATTTCTCGTCCCATTTTCCAGCATTTAGCCCACAGCCTTGTGCATAATGGCGCTTCATTTCTGAAATTTCCTACCCTCGGTCACCCTTTCAGACTGTGAGTTCCAGATACCCATCAGGCTGAAACATTACTCCCTTAATTCCCCTTTAAAACTCCTGCTCTTTGCCTTAAATCTACATACACAGGTTATCGACCCCTCTACTAAAGGAAAGTATTCTTCCTCTCTACCTTAGCTATGCCACTCAATTAAACCACCCCTCAGCTTTCTCTGCTCTAAGGAAAAGCATTACCAGATTAGTTGTCCAGTTGCCTTCAAGGGTCTGGGGACATGCACACCAAGGTCCCTCTGATTCTCTATACTTTGTAGAGTCCTACCCTTTATCATGCATTTCTTTACCTTGTTAGTTTTCCCAAAATGCATCAGCTCACTTTTCAGGAATAAATTCCACTTGCCGATATTCTGCCCATCTGACATTCCAATAGTCTAAGGATTTCCTCCTCGCTATTTACCTTAACTTAATATATGTGGTTACAAATTATACAATTAGTTGGTCCAAGAAAGTTGACTGTAAAAGGGCAGTTGTGAACATTTAAGACTACTGCAAAGCGGGGTGTAATTAATGAGCAGCATTGCGTAAAGTGTGCACTATGATAACCAGCACCAGTTTGGAATACGGCTTTTAGAAGCTAGAAAATAAACACCAGAGCAAAACCAAAATCTTAGCACTTAAAAAAGAATCCAAGTCGTCTGCTGGAAATCTACCCTTTAGAATAAAAATTTCATAGAAATAGCCTTTTCCTGATATTAGTCTAATTGGTTTTGTGACAAAACAGAACCATGTGTACGAATTTAGGTCTGCAAATATAGATTGAATGAGAGCTGTGTACAGAAGGCAGCATAACAACATGCTAGTTCACATTGTTTGAAGAGAATCAATATGTTAAACAGATGGGAGCAACATATTTATCAGCAACGATCTGGTAAATAACAAAAGGGCAGTATATTACTTTAAAATAACAGGAAATAATCTGTCTGAGATGTAGAGGAGAGAAAAACAGGTCCAAAGACTAATTATCTTAACAACATGAGTACAGATACCATTGATTCAATTTTAACCCTTCTAGTGAATTGTCAGGAAAGGATAAAATGAAGGATTAGACTGGTGGAAATGGTCACTCTCCTTCTAGCAGCCACAATATAATAAAAGTCAGGATTCAATTGTGCAAGTAAGACGAATGCAAGTTTTAACCAGTGCAGTTCAAGGTTTCACAGACAAAGACAAAGCCATTCGAGAATGCATGGCAGAAGCAGACCCACACTGAGCAGTGTGATGAATGTCACAGGGGCTTGATGAATATATGCAACATTCACAGGTGCTCCTTCATTTCATTGTCAGTAATGATTCAATCACTGTTTGGTATATAAACTGGATTTCAAGGGTTCCAGACAGACAAAGGCTCAAATTTCTTGGCCTACGATGCAGTAAATCAGGATTCTCAGACTGTCGAGAAAGCTGGTTGCAGATCTCTGCATTTCCACTTACACACAGATTGCTCACTGGACTGGCCAATCATGCCAGTGAGAGTGTTCACTACGATCAATTTTAATGGCACTGATGGCAACAGACAGACAGAAAAAACAGTAATGCTTGCAACTCTGTATAAACGCATTCATCAGGCAGCATCCAATCTTTTGAAATGCAAAAGCTTCCAATTCATCAACATCCAACTGACATGCAACCACAGAAAGGTTATGGTAGTATGTGCTACGTTTTTATTTTCTCAGAGTCAGGCAATACATTTATATATAAACTTGTACAACTACATTTTTTCTACAATAACAATTCATGAGCGGAATAAGTGAAAAGGGGCTCAAATCAATGTTAAGATAACTCAAATAAGCAAACTTGTTTAGCAGAATTTGACTTGGATGATAACAGCTTTATGAAGTACACATCGTCGAGCCTTACAATTACTTTTACAATAGCGTACAACGTATTTAGTAAAAAATCACAGTAAACCGGACAGATCATGCAATTCCGATCAAACGAATCGATGCAAAGAGAAAGGCAGAGGAGAGTGGGTGGGGTGGGAGAGAACATTATCGCAGTTGAGAGCCGCAAGTTCTCTCGAAAAACGAAATCTGAGTTGGCGGAGACCTTTTTTTTGGTCTTAAAATTTGTGGGGAGAAAAAAAAAACACATGATCTGCAGCAGCAGTCGGGATTAAAAGGGGTTTGGTTGGCGAGGAGCATTGTCAAAGAACAGAGATCTCTCCCTGGGACTGTGCATCATCACCACCAGCACCCACCCTCCTTTTACAGCTGTCAGCCCCACCACCTTCACAGTGAGGGAAGGAACAGGGCAGATCCCCGCCATCGGTCGATCTCTCTTTCTCTGGGAGAATCCCTCTCTCTCTTTCTTTCTTTCTTTCTTTCTTTCTCTGTGAGAATCAATCTCTCTCTCTCTCTCTCTCACCTTGATCCACCGGCACCGCCTCCATCTTCGTCTCATTAGCAACGCGAACTGCGTCCGCACCCCGCAACATCGACCGACCTGATTGGCTGACAGCTCGCCGTCCAAGGGCGGGGTCTCTCCTTTGGCCCGCCCCCTTCTCCCTGACTCTCTCTGATTGAATACCACTTCACTCGGTTACCCACAAACTTTCGAATATGCCCGCTGGCAGGGAAGGCTGAAACCCGATCGGTGATGCCCCGAGGGGGGCGTTAAGCCCGAGGTGGGCTGGAGGGTGTTGGCTTCACTCGACAAAAGTGAGCACAGTGCCCGCTGACCTGGGCCAAAGCGCCCTGACAAGATGAGCATCAATGGACTGGGCGTGTACTCGCTGGGAATTTAGAAGAATGAGGGGGGAAGGGGAATCTCATAGAAACATATAAAATCCAGATGGGACTGGACAGGCAAACGCGGGAAGGTTGTCCCCGTTGTTGGGGAAGTCCAGAAGTGGAGGGTCACAGTCTAAGAATAAGGGGACCCAGATGAGGAAGAATTTCTTCGCTCAAGAGAGTTGTGAACCTGTGGAATTATTTCCCACAGGAAGCTGTTGGGGCCAGTTTGTTAAATGTGTTGGAGCTGGACATGGGCCGTGCGGCCAAAGGGATCAAGGGGTACAGGAAGAAAGCGGGAATGGGATACTGAGATTGCATGATCAGCCGTGACATGTTTCTATGGAATTTAATGTGAGGAACAAAAGCAAAACAGGAGATGTCCAACAGATGAATGTCCTGAGAAACCGCATTAAATGGGGGTCATTACACCCTTGTGGTAATTCCAGCAACATGTTGTGGAGTCATATTGCCTTTACCTTGAGGTTTGCTCCAGTGTAAAGGCCACCCGCTCAGAATGGCAGTCAGGCAGTGAAAGCGATTAACCAGGTCATTGAAGATACCTGTTATCACACACTTCTGGAGCAGGTGGGACTTGAACCAAGACTTGGCCTAGCTCAGAATTAGGAACACTATGCCACTGTACCACAAGACTCCGAATTAGGTGGGGAATTCTGTTTCAGTGACAGTACCACTACACCACGGTCAAAATCACAACAGGCAGTTGAAAAGCATTTTGTCAGGAATACATGGGACCCCACGTTGATTCAGCACATCCTCCAAATGGTTGAGACAGCTGCACCGCCTTTCACTAAAGCTATTCAATCCATTATATTCAAAAACAGGGGAAATGAACTAAGAGGAGCTCATTTTTTACCACTGACTTTTCATAAAGGAAACAGATCTTTTGGATTGTGAGTTAAAAACAAAGACAGAGGTTTGAATCTGATAGGAATCTGAGAAAAGTGGGCCATAGTGAGATTTGTGCTAGAATTGCATGAGAAGTCTGATGAGGCCTGACTCAATGTCAGCGGCATCTTGTATGTTTTTGATGAGTGGCGAGGTGAGTTTCTGGCAGGGCGGTGGAGAGTTGGCAATTAAGGGTAATTATAGCCTATTAAATGCCTTGTTAATGCCCAACTTGCTTTCTTAATATTCAGCTTTCTATATTACCAAATGCAAGATATCATAAAATCTCAACATGGAAATTGGAGCTGATACTTGGCAAAATCAGCTCACGGTTGCTACAAAGAACCCCCATGTTGAACATCAGATATAAACATGTCAGGACACGTTCCGGGGCACTGGTGACATGTACCCTACATCCTCAGACATTAACATCCAATATCTGCCAGCCCTTAAGAAACCCTTGTGGCACACCTCTGATAGACTTAGAGGATGTTTTTGCACATCAGTGGTGCACCAGCAGCTATTATTATAATGTTGCAGCAAGGACTCTGTGCACTCAGGGACACACACCCAGCTCATAGACTGGACCAGGTTGCATCCACAGGCTGTTCACTTGCTGTCATAGTGCTCACTCGCTGAACAACTTGGATCTATACTTCCAAGAATGAAGAATAATACAGCACAGGAACAGGCCCTTCAGCACTCTAAGCCTGCGCCGACATATTTTGCCCTTCCATACTAAAACTATCATTACTTACAGGATCCATAGCCCTCTCTTCCCTTCCAGGAAATTATAGGCTGGTGAGCCTGATGGCTGTGGTGGGGAAGCTCTTAGAGAAAATACTGGGGGACAAGATATATGCACATTTGGAAGAAAACGGACTAGTTAGTGACAGACAACATGGTTTTGTACAGGGAAGGTCATGTCTCACCAACCTGATTGAATTTTTTGAAGAGGAGACAAAGATTATTGATGAGGGAAGGGCTGTGGATGTAATTTATATGGACTTTAGTAAGACATTTGATAAAGTTCCACCTGGCAGATTGGTACAAAAATTAAAATCTCATGGGATTCGGGTGGGCTGGCTAGATGGATATGAAAGTGGCTTGGTCATAGAAGACAGAAGATAGCATTGGAAGGTTGTTTTTCAGAATGGAGACCAGTATCTAGTGGTGTTCCGCAGGGATCAGTCTTAGGTCCTCTGTTGTTTGTTGTATTTATAAATGATCTGGAGGAAAATGTAGGTGGTCTGATGAACAGGTTTGCAGATGACACGAAGATTGGCGGAGTTGCTGATAGTGACAACGATTGTGAAAGGCTACAACAAGATGTAGATAGATCGGCAATTTGGGCACAGAAATAGCAGATGGAGTTTAATTCAAACAAACGTGAAATGATGCGTTTTGGAGGATCAAATTTAGGTGTTAATTATACTGTAATTGCCAGAATGCTTCGGAACATTTACGTTCAGACGGATCTGGGCACACAGGTCCACAGCTCCCTAAAAGTGGCAACTCAGGTGGCCAAGGTGATTAAGAAGGCATGTGGCATGCTTGCCTTCATCAGCTAGGGCATGGATTACAAGAGTTGGCAAACCATGTTGCAGCTATATAAAACCCTTGTCAGGCCGCATCGTGAGTATTATGTGCAGTTTTGGTCGCCACACTACCAGAAGGAAGTGGAATCTTTGGAAAGAGTATAGAGAAGGTTCACTAGGATGTTGTCTGGTTTCGAGGGCATTGGCTATGAGGAAAATTTAAAACTGTTTTCACTGGAAAGACAGAGGCTGAAAGGAAACCTGATCAAGGTCTATAAAATTATGAGAGGCATACTAGGTGGATAGTCCAGAGGCATTTTTCTAGGGTTGAAGTTTCAGTTACAAGGGTGCGCAGGTTCAAGGTGAGAGGGGGAAAGTTTAAGGGAAATGTGCGAGAAGTTTTTCACACAGGGAGTGGTAAGAGCGTGGAATGTGCTGCCAGAGGAGGTGGTGGAAGCAGGCACATTGGCAACATTCAAGAGACACCTGGATGGTTACATGAATAGGGAGGGCAGAGAGAGATAAGGACTGAATAAGGGTAGAAGATTTGTTTTTTAGGTTAGTTAGGGCACGATGATCGGCACAGGCTTAGAGGGTGGAAGGGCTGTACTTCTCTTTTGTTCTTTTGTTTTTGTTCTCATGTTTTTGTCTGGGGACTTAGTGAATGCTGCTGTTTTGTCTGCTTCCACCACCTCCTCTGATAGTGCGTTCTAGGCACTCACCACTGTTTATGAGAAAAACATGCCTCGCACATCTCTTTTAAGCTGCCCCCACACTCCCACCCTACCGCACCTTGAACCTGTGTCCCCTAGTAATTGACCCCTCCACCCTGGCAAAAAGCCTTATACTTTCCATCTATCCATGCCATTTACAATCTTATAAACTTCTATCAGGTCGCCTCCTCAACTTCCTATGTTCCAATGAAAACAAACCCAGTCTATCTGACCTTTCTTCATGGCTAAAATTCCCCATACCAGGCAACATCCTGGTAAACCTTTTCTGTACCCTCTCCAAAGCATCCACATTCTTCTGGTAGTGTGGTGACCAGAACTGTACGCATGCCTTACATTGCCTTGCCTTGTCTTTTGCTTTGCTGGTGCCAGCCAGAGCTACCAGGCTCACAGTGCCTCTGTTTTGACATTCTACTTTGCACAGACACAATGATAGGAATCTTGTCGTGGTTGTCAACAGCCTTCAGTCATGTCAAAAGAGGTGGACTTCACCCAGGGTACCCAGCAAAGTAAGAAAAGGGCAGCTTCCAAAACCAGTCCATTGGCTTGGACAAAGTCAATCAACCAATCATGAGCATCTTGATTCTCACCGCCACCACGTGAGGAGCGAGAAGCCTAATGTCAAGCAGCTCACTACCTGCCTTGACTCTTTCTGCCCTATTTTGGGCAGTTTCAGTTAGAACGATGCGGCATGGTAGCTCAGTGGTTCGCACTGCTGCCTCACAGCACCAGGGACCCAGGTTCAATTCCACCCTCAGGCGACTGTCTGTGTGGAGTTTGCACGTTCTCCCCATGTCCGCGTGGGTTTCCTCTGGTGCTCCGGTTTCCTCCCACAGTCCAAAGATGTGCGGGTTAGGTGAATTGGCCATGCTAAATTGCCCATAGGGATGTGTAGATTAGGTGGGTTATAGGGGGATGAATCTGGGTGGGATGCTCTGAGGTTCGGTGTGGACTTGTTGGGCCGAAGGGCCTGTTTCCACACTGTAGGGATTCTATGAATGAGAGAGGGGCAGGTATTACAGGAGATTAAAGTGGATGGCATAGCTGTTAGTTGTGGTGGAAGTGTCCTGAGCAGCTAAATCGGTGCAACAGAGCATATCCAGTGGTGTTGGGGGCCGAGGGTGGGTGACAACGAGTGAGGGAAGATGTTGTGGGCAATAGTGAGAGTGGCAGAGCATAAGCCCTGGTGGGAGGTGATGTTAGAACCCTCACTGATTTTTCACTATTCTTATTTGTATTCTTTAATCAATTTTGATTTGGAGCTTTCAACTGGAAATTGTAAACTGAGAATGACTTGTGGACTTTGGGACAGTTTGGCCCTGTCCTTAGCTTTGAAAGTGTCTTTATCCTGTATGGCCAAAGGGGAAATTTACAAACACTTAACACCCTTATTCCCATATATCTGCATGCCATGTACTGGTCCCACATTCTAATTAGTGTCTCGTTGCCTTTTTATGCAAAACTGGTACAGGTTTTCTAGCCTTGCCTCTCTACCATTTTACTCTTTGCAAAATTTCATTGTTTGATGAGAGAGAGGCCC